CAAGACATGAATCGCGTTCAGCTGTGTGGGAGTCCCATGATGTAACCACTACACCATTTGCTGATACTCCCTGTCTCCCCGCCTCCATTTGTTTTCAAAACCTCTTGTCCTCTGTTCCAACTGGGCAACTTCTTGCTCACGGTAAATGCAGCTTACTCATTCAGACTCAGTGCCTGTGTCTTAGTACTCTGTCCTGTTACCCTCTACCCAGAATGGCTCTATCCCTCTTCCCAGCCAAGCCAAATAGTCATCTCTCGAGCATCAGACCCACAAACTCACTCCTTATGTGAAACCTTCTTTGATGACTCTTGCCATCATTCATTTATTTTTTAATTTGACCAGAGAGAGACAGAGGGTGAGAGAGAGAGAGAGAGAGAGAGAGGAAGTGAGAAAGCAAGCCATCAGATTCAGGACTCGAACCCTGGTCAGCTGTGTGGGAGTGTCCAGTGTCTTAACCACTATGCCACCTGCTGGTCCCAGTAATTTTACTCTTAATACATAAGTATTTCAAAATTTGTTAATAGAATGACTCCCTTTTCTATGGCTTTTTCTTGTAAATGAATAAAATTACTCAATGATAGGTCAATACTTTACATAAAAAATTAAGATAAGATAATAAAGGTACTATAAGATATTAAAACTTACAACCAGCAGTTGGCATAATGGCTATATCTCTGGACTCCTATGCAGTCGACTGCGGTTAGAGTCCTGGACCCGGTGGCTTGAACTCATGTCGAGTGCATGTGCTTGCGTACCCAGGATCCTGAGAGGAGAATGCAGGAGAAGGGATTGTGGCGTGGCCACCCCCCCGGGGGGTGATTTCTCACTTTCTGTCTCTCTGTCTCTCTCTGTCTTTCTGGTGAGAGCACACGCCCTATAGCAAAAACCTCTCAAAAAAAATATTAAAACTTATTTTTTCTGAGATATAATATCAGAAATGTCACCTTTGTCAGAAACCCTTTCGAAGGCTATAAGCTTTCTCTACCACAGATACCAACAAAAATATGGAAGGAAGACATGATTATCCTGAGAATATTTTCATGTATTAGAGCTGCCCCCTCCAAGTCAGTTTCCTTAATAACTTATAACATACATCATTCATAAATTAATCTATGCTCACACAACCTTGGTCCAAATTATTTCTTCACACTTGCAGCTCAATTTAAACAACACAGTCAGAACTCACTGGGTACAAAAGTGGATAAGGATTTGAAAGGGAGGATGCGAAGTTCAGATTTTTACATGAATAACAAAATCTGATTCCATTTATAAAGTTTTCTACATCTCTAAATAGTGTGACATTGCAGGGTCTTATATGGTAGAGTAACAAAAATTAAGTAAAAAACAAAAAGAGAAATTTGTAGTTTAATTTTTTAATGAGTTATTTTATTTAACTTTATCCATTTACTTATTTACTTTAATTTGACCAGAGAGGAACAGAGGGAGAGCAAGAGAGAGAGAGAAAGTGAGAAAGCAAGCCGCCAGGTTTGGGACTCAAACTACTGTTGGCCATGTGGGAGTCCAGTGCCCTTAACCACCATGCCACCTGCCAGCTCCTGTAGTTTAATTTTTAAAAAGCAGTCTAAGCTCAGTAACTAGTCAGTCAAAAATCTGATATAATCCACAGTACTCAGGTTAAGATTGGCACCTCACTTACCATAACTAAGGCAATATCAGCTCAAAACAATTTTGTTAAACTACTCAGTGGTGGGACCAATAGTTAGCGTAATGGCTATGTCGCTGGACTCCCATGTGGTCGACTGTGGTTCGCGTCCCAAACCCAGTGGCTTAAACTCACGCCGGGCACATGTGTGTGCGTGCCCAAAATCCCGAGAGGAGAATGGAGGAGAAGGGATTGCGGCGTGGCCATCCCCCCTGGGGGGTGATTTCTCGCCGTCTGTCTCTCTGTCTTTCTGGCGCATGAGCCCTATAGCAAAAAAAAAAAAAAAAAAAAAAAAAAAAAACCACCCTCAAAAAAAACA